CCTGGCCCTTGAGATGAGATGATAAAGAAGTCACTGCACAGCAGCAAGGTCACCGAAATGGTGTTGCCCTCAGCGGAAAAGGAATCGTGGGTCCACTTTGGTTCGAGGAAGGGAGCGGCGACACCGTGACCGTCAATCAACAGCGCATACCAGGCGACGCTGAGGAAGTTCTGCAGAGCGAGTCCAAACGAAGCATGGCAGCATCATCATAGACCTTATGTGGTTCCAGCAAGACGGTGCGCCTCCTCACATCGCAAAAACAACGCTCAAGTGCATCGAAAACCACTTCGGTGACCGGCTGATATCCCGCGGTGCCAGTCGGAACTGGCCTACCTGCTCATCCGACCTGACCCCTATGGATGTTTTACTGTGGGGTCATCTCAAGGGCCAGGTCTACAAGGAAGGTCCAGAAAGCCTCTGAACTGAATAGAGCGATCAGCAAGGCTGTGTGAGCCATACAAGCGGGCTATTGTATCAGCAGCCAGGCTGGTCGCTCTGTGCCTGTCTCGCGAAGGTGGTCACTTCGAACATCTGCTGTGAGAGACTGAAAACGAGAGCAAGCATATGAGAGTGATGCCATTATGAATTTCCACGAAATGTACTCTTGTTTGGTATCATTCCCAGTCACATGCATGCAATGTTACATGTTTTATACGAGTTTAAAATATTTCCATCCTTTTTGGTCCACCCTGTACTGGTGACATTTTTCCCACGGGAATTTCTTTATGGAATGCTCAGTCTGCGATCATGAGTACCTACATATTGACGTCCTATGCGTTGATTATAGGCGACTGACAAAGAAGGGAATTCAGCTGCTGATAGTTAAATAGGACGACATTCAACGTTATGTCGTATTCTAGGAAGAAATGATATTTAGTTAAGTATTTTAAATGCCACCAGAAAAAGGAATTTATGCTATATGAATTCGAAGCTATGCTATATGGTATTGGTCAGTTTGTCCTACCTTGGAACAAAGTCGGTATAACTAAAGCTATAAAATGTTTTGCTGCGACTAAAATGCTTTTTTCACCACCATCGTCCTTTGTTTGAGGTTTTGTTTTGTTCTCAATAAGTAATACTGCGACTTGCACTGAATTTGAGTTTCTTTCTAAAGTTTAAGACCTGGCTGCCAATTGTCAAAATAAGAAAGCTCATATTAAAAGGGATAACTCTGCCAGAAAATACAAGGAGAGTAAACATGTCTGTCATCTGGTGTACGATGGGTGAGGGCAAAACAAAGACGATGTTTGGCGAATGTGGGTAAAGCTACATGATAGTTCCATTTGGCACATAATAGTCTTCTTCAACGGACTTAAAAGCAGGCCTCAACCTTGTTTTGCTATCTAATCGATGAGCCAGTCTTAAAAGGCTCGCATTTGTGCATTGAAATATATTACCTACTCACTGGTGCATAGGTAATAACTAATCTACAGGGTGTTTCACTAAAAGTGTCAAAAAGTAAAAGGTCATAATGCACATAATAACAATGTTTTCTACGGAAATTTGCATACCATTTCATCCGCAATTGTTGGACATTTGAATATATAAAAACGATAGCACCGTCACTCAAACCTATTCCACATATCCGCCCCTTCTTTTGATGCACCGTTTCGGCACGAGTCCGGAGGTGCCTCACAGCCCGTTTTCATCTTCAGCGTCCAGACTGTCGGCAAAACCTTGAATGGTGCTCTTCAGCTCCCGAAGTGATGCGACTTGAGTCTTCCTCAGCTCTGCGAGAGCTACTGACCAAAACCAGAAGTAAAGCGGTGACAGATGGGGGCTTTGCGCTGGCCAGAGGCGGGCGGCGAGGCAGCTGATTTTTCGGCGCAGGAACTTCTAATCCAGCCAGTTCCTGGTGGTTACAGCCATTATAGTGGCTGTTTTTGATAACTTGTAAGGCCTTGGCTATTTCTGATGTTGAAATTAGCTTCTTGTTATCTTCAAAGACCCTCAAAAAGACCCTGACCTTTTCAACGGTTTCCGCCGGGAGGTGGGGGACCCCGTCTTTTTTGGACTGGGACCGGCATCGAAGGAACCCTTTTAAACCTCTCAAGAAGCCCTTTGAATCTTTTATAATCTGGAACGTATAGCGAGGTGAGAGAATAAAACGTTTCCTGACAAGTCGGCATACGGTTTCAATGTTTCTGATGGCACCAAATGTAAGTGTAATTCACCCCTCCTGTTGCGGTGTAAATAACCTGTTCAGTGTTCTTGTTCTGCATAAGGAAAAAACGACTAGTAACTTTGGCCTCCTGCCCTCGCTCCATATGAGTGTAAAATATATCTTAAATGGACGAAGCATAAATGTCCAAAAATTTGCAACAAAGCCACGTGCGCAACCACGTGATTTGCATATTTTATATATCTTTAATAGGCATTTACTTTTTGACACTTTTAGTGAAACACCCTGTAGTATTTCCTAGGTCCTCAGTAAATAAAAACATGCGATGTTGACGCAAAAGCGTGTTAGGAAAGTCGTTAAACTGAAAAGAAGAGAAATGAAATCGCCGGCCTCGTTGACAGAAGATAAAACGGTGGGCGTTACTGTAAATTGGCTCGCATCGAAAGGCTTCGGAAACTGACGGTGCTTAGTAAGATGAAAAAAACTCCAATAAATTTAGCCTAGCGCTAAAGCAAGACGATGCATGCACGGAAAGCTTCATTCCTTAGGTCTTAGGTTGCGAAGCACTAACTTAAAGATAAAATATGGCGTTTATATCAATTCCCGGAAAGCTTGCATGGAGTTGACCAAAGCGATATTTCTGCCATGCTTAAATCAGGTGGCACATTTTTAATCTTTAAAACTCAAAGTACATAAGTGTATTTGCCGCTTCAAAGTACGACATGAATAATCAAAAAGCAAATAAAGTAGTATAACTTGCACACCAATATGTCAGCTGATTTTACACTCTTTGATTGCTTTTAATATTTTGTAGCACTAAATAAACTTGAAACTTTTGTAAAAACATATACACCGTTTAGAATAGACAAATGCCGCCATTGAAGGTGGTTTTTAGAAGTTGTGAATACGTCCGCTGTGCATAACTAAGCAAACAGCGCTAGGGGTCGCACCTGGCGTAAACGTGTCACCCAGCGCCCCCATGTCGTTTATATATGGCTGACGGCGCTGTTGATCAGAACGCAGTCGACAAACAGCCACAGGCTCTGCCAGGGGGTGGTCCTGGTGCCATCCTGGTGACCAATTCTAAATCGGCACAGCGGATGGCAATCAATCCGTAACCTATCTCCAACGAACTGCGATCCTTTCCTATCTTCATCGATGCTTCTAATAGCAATAGTGTTGAGATAGCAATTAGCATTTTCACAACAGCTTTCAATATGAATTGCTCATGATGCTTCAGCGGTGTGTAACAGCCGGGTGCTACCTTACTAAAAAGGGCGACATGGTAACGATAATTCGAAAGTCTTCCGGTTTGGTGATGGGTTCGAGAATTTCACCGCACCATGCACCACCTGCTGGAGAGATGAAAGGAGCGGCATATAATGTGAGAAAGAGACCCAGATGGGTGTGTGGGTCAGGTACAATAGCTGGTCACTGGAGCAAACTGGCCGCTCGCACCTATGGCAGACCTCTCCTGAAATAGCCGCTTAATTTGCACGCTCGTTCGGCGCCTGCTAAGAGCACTTCTTGGTAGTGGCTCCGACCAGTGGTCGCTACCATGACCCATGCATTTAATGGAGAAACGTGGTAAGTTGGCGGTCTAATGCTGCCGAGCTCACTAAAATACTCACATAAATGCGGAGTCAACCTAAAAATAAAGAGCATTACAGTGAAAAGGTCCGAGTCTCTTAGAGCAAGTTAAGAATGAGGGACCTACATGAACCAAAGAAGGGTCCTAGAACCCCCAAAATAAGACTTTCCTACTCAATGAATTACATCCAAGGTTATACGTGGGAATGCATAACCCTTCGGATACCTTCTATGTAGATATTACAAGGACCACCATTAATTACATTGCATTAATTTCAGACACTCTTTTCTGGGGCCTGCATCAATTTAGGCCAGATTGGCTGCCTGGACTCGAGCCTCCCGGCCAAATGTCCGTACCAGGCCGGTAACCACCACTTTTCACGGAATGAAGCGCGCAAGAACGACCGCTGTACGGGAGGCGAAAAGCAATAGCCATCGACTGGAGTCGCCTCCAGCCGGCCGCGGTGCAGGCCGGTCCGGGCCGGGTCGGTCGGAGCAGCTACCTAACCCCAGGTCTGTGTGGTTAGTGGTCAGTGCGATATTTGTTTTGAATTACGGTTAAAACGGCCCCATTATTTGCTCTAATTGATGCATGTATGCTAAATGTGAAGGAGTAACAGTCTAAAAGTATATTTTTTATTGCGATAGGGAATATTTTTTATACTTACTTCCGTTTTTAAGTGGGCGGGGGGGGGGGCAGAGGACCACATATTACGAGGCTTACATATCAAATGTGCAATAATATGTTCTTTTTTCTTTTTTCTGTTTCTGCCACATACGATTTATGTAACAATTGAATGAGCGTTAATTTCGCCCTATACTAATACAAAATAACATTATTTTGGCAAATGCTGCAAAGCGTTTCGTATGAGTATTGCAGCTTCCTTGATTTTGGCGCGCTGTTGTATTATGCACCCTGGTCCTGTAGACAATCTCAAGTACAGATGGCTCTAATCTCATCAGCGTTGAACATAATTGATGATCTGAGCTCTACCGCGACTAGGGACCGAACTTCCGCCGCACAGCAGGGCTCCTCGGTCGCTTGATGGTATTCAGAAGTTTATTGGACGCTAAAAATGAAATACTCTGCCTTATTAAACTCTTACATAATCCTGAATGGAAACTTTTAGCTATAGTTTGAGGTAACTTTATGTCCAACTCTCGGAAATGTCAGTCTCTTCGATGATACGGATGCATAGATCTCCAGCCCCTCCCCCATGTCGGTAGGACCCCGTCGGACCCTCCCCTCCTACGATTCACCCCGCTCATTAAATATCTCGCCGCTCACCTGGTTCATATTGCTCCTGACGAACTCCATCGACTGCTCCAGGGCGTACGTGCCGCTGCTGCACGTATCCAGGATGCGCACCCCGATCTCGATGCCCGGCAGCAGGCGCGGGTCGCGGTTGATCTCGTCCACGGCCCAGAGCATGGCCTCCAGACGCTGGATGCCCTTCTCCTCCTTGATCTTGCCACAGGTGGCCTGGCCGTCGCTGCTACGCTGCTCGTGCATCGGGAACAGGCCGCCGAAAGTCACGTTTCCCGGCAGCTGCACCACGCGCGGCTCGCTGCTCTCGGCGCTGATGAGTCCGCTGGTGATGATTAGCACCAGCACCGCTGTCGGCACCAGTGTCCGCACCAGCGGCGGAGCGCCCGAGTTCCGCCCGGTGACCGTCATGCTGCCGCTGCGGTCATGGGATCTGGAACGACACAACCGACCATATGCCGGTTAGGAAAGCAATGGATGGTTCGCCACTATCAGCTCTAGAACCGAGCTAGCTAGCCGGACACGCCGGGCTAGAAAGGCAAAAGTGCGCTGCATATTCAGATATATGGTCCGATTGGAAATACAAACATCAGATCTGAAAGAGCTGAAAGAGTCCAAAATCTAGTTCTATGACAAAAGACGAAGAAGACATTGGAATGACTTTCAAGAAGCAAATAAAAATGAAGAAGCCGAGGCTTCAAAAGACACACAGTGCCAACTTTCCCATTGTATTTGGATCCGCACATAAAAATATGACATCATTCATCACACTCCAACACATGACATTATTCCACGGCATCAAATGCCGTAGCTGCTGAATGCGGCGTCCGTTCCAGTCGGCTTAGTCACGCTATCTCCAGTCAGGTGTGCTGGCCGCTCCTGCTGCACCCGCCTGTTGCACGTGACGTGACGAGCCCCGCCCGGCACCCTCCGGCGCTACAATAAAGGATTCGGTCACCTCTCACGTGCCGCGCTCCGGGTCGATATGTCTGAACAACTTTGCCACTGCGGGCAGAGCAGACTGCACATGCAATCTGGGTAATGTCCGATCGAAGGCATTATGTGAATCTGCGCTGTTCAACTTACGGTCACGTAGCGGGGGTACGTTTACATTGGGTGAGCCGCGGGTTAACACGAGAAGCATAACACGAGCGGAGAGTTGTTGAGGACACGAGCTTTTCTTGGTGGGGAGTTGTAGGTCAATGAGGTGTATGTTGGGAGGTACCAGATGCCAGGTGGTGCCTTGATGAAATTTCCCGGTGATCGCGGGAAGCTTCTCTTGATCAGATATCAATGCAAACCCAAACCAGGCTGGTAGTTTGAATGCAGTGTACGTTATGACATGGTCTATTTAGCAACTCATTACGAGATGCTTTGAACTGCAGCAGCTCTGCCCAAATGTCGAAATTCGTAAGCACGTAGCATGCTCTTATGATGTGTAAACATGATGTTATGACGAAGACTGAATAGCTACTCTTAGCTGGATGAGAGGGCCGGTTTCCAAGATCACAGGTATTGAGCCTGGCATATTGTAGGACCGCCTCATCTGAGTTCAAACTCAAAGTCAAGCCAAGCGTGTCGAGAGTTGCCTTGACCGGAGCAGTGGAATAGGCATACTTATTATCCCAAAGAGTTGCTAATTTGTCGGGGCAAAAATACAGCGAACTTTGTTCGATGTTTTGAAACTTACCGAAGAGTGGCATCGCCGTATAAAATTTCCGATACAGGCCATCCACAGTCGGCGTTCAGTGAAGCTTCCGGAGCTATCAGTGCGTCCCACGGACAATAGCTCCGGTGGAATAACATCGTCTGGGGCAGCGGGCCGGATTCCCAGTCGGTTGGCCAAACATCATTAGCGAGGCGCGCGGCTGCCCAGATCGCCGCGGCCGAGCTGAGACACACACTGCGCGGCTGAGACGACACCCATCGTGCAGAGATATGGAATGCATTGGGCTATCAGCTCTACCACTGACTGTCCAGCTATGAAAATGACATTTACCTTGGCGCGGTAAGACTCGTCTCTGGGCACCTTCTGTAAAGTTATGACTTTCTGATTCACCACCGAATGGTAACACCCAAGACATGATTACGGCATCTACCGATGATTTACGTCACGCGCCAACGAGCTATGACAATCATAATGAGCTATGACATCCACTGCAGATTTTAGACACCTACTATCCACCGAGATGTCTGAGCCCCTACAGTCAGACGTGTTTACAATTCCATCGTGCCTACCAGCGCTAAGCGGCAGTTCACCCCCAGTGTCGCTGGATGCGGGTGGAGCTCTGATGTCAAACACAGAGTTCGCGCAGACACACCATGTTGAAATGAAGCGCGTAAACAATATAAAGAAAAGGTATGAAACGTTCTATTAGCTTTTCCATCGGTTTCCAAGTGCCCATGTCGCCTTCATAACCTCACATGATTATCTTGGGTAGTTTTATTAAAAATAGTTTAATAACAGTAACAAAAATAACTGCAAGTGCTGACAGACAAATGTACAAAATCTACAATAACGCACATTTCCTTGTCCTATTAGAATGACCGATTTGCCCATTTCGCCCGGCCGGCAGTTCCCAATGTCCACGTGAGGCCGACAGCAGCAGACTACCGAACAGTGCCCACCGCGGGTCCGGCGAGGTCAGTGTTCAATCACTCGGCAAATTAAGCTGTCGTCCCCACGTTACTTAGCTCTTACCATGGGCGGCATCAAAGGCGCGACGGGAGCGGCCGTCCGGCCGGCACGGGTCACGCCCTGTACTCTCAGGTCAGGGTCAGTTATTGTGTGAGCTTAAAATGTCAAACGGGCCGCCGCCGTCGGGAAATGACGCTTGTCCCGTTGATCTTTTCGTCACCATTCAGCGAAGTCGCCAAACCATTTAGGGTACTGGCAATGTAATTATGAAGTTTTAGCCGTCGCCTTAGATATTCTTGAAGCGCTCAGTGCATGATAGAAAATAGCTTGGTAAATGATGATTAGCTGCTGGATCGCTACCTTCCCCAAGGCTTCACCATGTCAATTATAATGTCCTTTGATTTGGTGATGCATCTTGGGCATAACTCCTGGCTCTCGGCGCGGATAATTCATGTAATGCTGGAAGTTGCTGGCTGCTCCTGCACATGCCTCCGCTGTGAAATGTCAAGTTCTCGTTCTTAGAACACAGCGCTCTTGAATATCGATAGCACAATAATAGTGAACGGCTGCGCTTCATGGTTGATGTTTCACATGGAACACTTCATCGTTACAGGGCCTCGAAATGGGCAATGGTGTGCATTACTGCATCTAGCCTGCCACTCGAAAAGCACAGACACGGTCCAGTTTCCATCCGGACTCTGGAAGGCATCGTGGTAAAGCAGCGATGCAACTGAATCTGTACAAGAACACCGTACTTCGGAAAACCATGGTTGCGAGTAACCGGTCGTGGTGTGTGGAAGCTAGTGAGGTGCCTCCTCCATTCTAGTGAGCCAGTGATTTGGGTAAGCAGACTCTATTGAGACGAACTTTTACACATATTTTGTCGGTCATTACAGCTGAATAGACGAATGTGAATAGATTGACGAATTCGGTCACCAATGATTAGTGTTGGCATACTCATTAGTCATTACTAAATTCCACTTCATTGCTTTGAGTAACCGCATTTTTCTATTGAAAAACAACCGGAGCAGTCCTTCTCCGGGCTATGTTTTGCATGGCTGGCCGCGAATTGGGGCAACTTGACGGGGGCTATTTTAGCGATTGCGCTTTCTGCTAGGATTTGTGCGATCCTCGGCCGAGCCATGCCCGAGCTACCTCTCACTGGTGACAGGCCAAGCGGTTTGCCTAAACGTAAAAGCAACCAATCTGGGCAAAATGGTCCAATAATTTAACAAATTTTCGAAAAAAAAGAAATAAATCCCTGCGCAAGATACATGTTTTAAAACAATGCACGAAACAAGAATTCGAGAAATATCGTACGCTTTTTCCCCTTCCGTGTTCAGCTGGTCTGAGCTCTTAATTCAGCGCTGGGTGTGATTCCGATGTTGTTTGTTGTCAGTAATAAGAACAAATGACGCTTGCCAGAGTGGCAAACAGCTAACCACTCTCCTGAAAACAATGATATCAGTCGTGTCTGGGCTAGCTATTTCAGAACAATTGTTCCTGGGGTTGTCTGGATTTAGCGGCAGCTTGAAGGATGGAAGTGTTGGTCTTAATCTCGCGGTGCACGGTGGCAGTTAGGTCAGCTTTACCGCGATCTTGCAGAAAACATTAGTAATGCTCCCGTTACCATTTTCAAAATGTAGCACCGAGATGTAGCGATTTTTGCAGGTAAATTTTCTAATTGAAATGCAGAAGGTTCCCATCACAACTCATTGGCCAATCAATTGACGCTCTCTGTCCGCAAGTTTCTGGGTCACGCTTATAAACGTTGCACGACTGCAGTAGCCGCACTGTTTTTCCTTGCTCCGCATTACGTGTACGAGCTATGCTAGCTATGCTGGGTTGGATCAGTTCACTCGCTTCTTTCTGTGTCCGAGCGGACCAAGTATGTAGCGCTGTGGTCCTTTCCCCAATGATCCAGCCGTGACACCCTTAGCTCCCCCCCCCCCCACACTCCTCCAATGGTCCCAGGGCGCTGACGACAGCTGTCGGTTCGACCGAGTCGGTGATGGCGGCCACGATAAAAACGTGCTCGTCGAAAACAACGTCGTGCCGAGCGCCATCCAGAACGGTGCGATAGCCGGGTTACAGCTCATGTTTTGTAGATTTCGGCTGCAAGCGGCGCCCTCACAGTGCCTCTTCGCTAGAGCATGAGCCCAGAAGTTGAGCATTGGTTTGCGGAAAGGGGTTCCACGTCGCAAAGCTGACTCGTAAAGGTCGCCGAGTCGGCTGTACAAATGTCGGTCGAGAGCTGACAGGTCAGTGGCCGGCGCCAAATTCACGTCGGCAGTATGACCGCGAGTGAGCTGCTGCATCGTCTTCATTTCTGATACGGTTAGCGGTGCTCCACCAAGGGCCAGCGCTAGCGGAAGCGCCGCGCGGCACTTGGTTTAGAAATGTGTAGATTCCTGCGGTGTAAACTGAATCGCACTTTAAATGGCGGACCAAACGGTCAACGCATTAGAAGAATGGCGTCGTAAGTCAGTCATGCACTGGTGCGTTAGCTGAACATTGGTAGACGCTGGGGTCGAGAAGTGCGCCAAAAATGGACTGGAGGGGAGGTATTTCGTGTCGCTCGTGAAGGAATGAATATTTCATGCTAGTCATGGATAGAGGATTGAGTTTTTATACATTTATTTTATTCGACATTCAGTCAAGTGACACCGACAATAGTCTGTGCAAATTCCTGCTGATAAAAGAATCAAAGGAGCTGATTCTGTTCAATGTTCAAGCACGACTATTCGACAGGTATTTCAACTTAGAGTTTGTG